ACGTTTGCTTGATTTTTCAAGGTGAAGGCCATAAAATTATTTCTTACACCGGAAGACTTGGATGATCCTGTAAATAGAGCAAAGAAGCATTTTCTTCAAACTGGTATTTAAGTTTCTTTATCCTCTACATAGCCTTGTAGATACATGATATAAATTTTATATCAGCAGGGGAATATTCACTGCGACATCAATGTGATGAGTAATCGATGTAATTTATTATTTCCTGAAGCATTTTATTACATCACCTAGGCACTTTGTTTTTGGCTGTATTTGGGGTCTTGGCTATTCTAACTCTTGTTTGGGGCTAGAGATGAGGAGAGAAATAGTCTCTTAGTTGCTCTTTTTTATTTCAGAGTAATGTAAGGGTACATTCGAATAGGTCCCATTGTCAGCATTTGTAAGGTAGAGTCTAAGTCGTGGCTGAGTCCCTCCCCTAGGAGCTGTGCCATGGACCCCTGCCCTGTCCCCAGTAGATGAGAGCTTCCTGCACCTCCTCCCCGGATTGGCCTTCTGGAATTCAAATGTGGTTTTCTTTCATGTGGGCCTATAGTTGTTCATCTACTTGTTTCAAATTAGTATTGCGTAAATGGGATGCTTGCTTGCTTTTCTATTCCTGAGATACTTTGCTAAGGGGAAAAGGGGAATGTTCTTCAGTTTTTTTTGACCAAAATCTTCCTAGGAGAGAAGAGTTCCACATTTTAAACTTGTGCCCGAGGTGGTTTAATCCATTACAACTGGAGGAGGTTCAAATATAAGCTAGATACAAGTTTATTTGTGGTATTCCAGACTTTACACGATATTTTTGATCTATTTGCCAATTAACCCTGCCTGTCAATTTTTAAAACTTTAGATCTGGTGGCATGTATATGTATAGAATTCTTGATGGGAACCATTAACAAAAAGGGGTTATGAGTGTGGCCAGAGTCAGACTGTGTGGGGTTAACTCTCAATTTTAATACTTCCCAACTGTACGTACGGTCTGTGCAAGTGATTTAAAAGCACTGTTTCAGTTTCCGTCCCTGTAAATTGAAGCTAATCGTGCTACTCAGAGTCTGTTATGGTGTTTAGATGAGCTAGTCAAAGTAATACTTTTAAAATAGTACTTGACACATACCACATACTGTATATATATTATTTATATTTAAGTAATAACAACAGCAACCACACCACTTCAGGTTCATTCAAATATTTGATAGACATGCATGGATATGCTGAATTTCACTTACACTGAAATAAAAGATGTCATTTTTCAAATATCCATTATTTTTAATTTGGTCTATATTACACATACATAATTATAGGAGAGTAATATTTTTGTAGTGCACTATAATGTATACACAGTGTGAACATTTCTGTTATGAATAATTTAATAATAAAGAAAAATTCAAAGCAACTTATTATTTGTATCTATTAGAGACTACTGATGATTCTTAAACTTTAACATGCATAAGAAACACCTGGTACATCTTTTCAAATGCCAATTCCAAGGCCCTATGTGCATAAGTGTCTTTGCAGTGGAGTTCAATAATCAACATTTTCGAATGTATCTCATTTACAAGGCCCAGTAGTATCCTTGAAGGTTGCAAATCTCACAGAAAATTTCCTGTATATGTCCACAATAGCTCTTTAAAAATCTTTATACTCTCCTAGGTCAGTGGTTTATTTCCTTGGGATTTTGTTAGTTTGTTTTGACTGTCCTCTGAATATCTTCCAAGTTTATGTCTGTTCTGAAGTAAGGAACTCTGGCAAGCCATTACTAATGTTGAACCCACCCTCCCTTCCTTCCTTCCTTCTTTCCTTCCTTCCTTCCTTCCCTTCCTCCCTCCCTCCTTCCTTCCTTCCTTCCCCCTCCTCCTCTTCCTTCTTCCTCTTCCTCCTCTTCTTCCTCCTCTTCTTCCTCTTCTTCTCCTCTCTCTCTCTTTTTCTTTCTTTCTTTTGTTCTAAAGCAGAAAAAATGGAAGGAGGGGATGAATGACCTTTTTGTTTTTGAGTGTTGGTGGGTTAACTGGTAGTTCTGAACATCATCTTCATATCCTTGTACACTGCCTCTCATTTAGAGAGCATAGGAAAGGCCTTTATAACAGGCCTTTAAATGAGAGAGGCTGACTGTCTGATTTATTCTTCATTTCAGAGGATGCCAAAAGCACGCTTTTGTTGATGCCTGAGTTCAAAGTTCGAGAGAGAGCGTTGCTGGAGTCCTTGCATCGCTTTGGCCTGACGGAGGAGGGTTGTGTCCAGGCGTGGTTCTCTTTCCCCCACTCCATGCGCATATTCTACATTCATGCCTATAGCAGCAGAATTTGGAATGAGGCGGCGTCTTACAGACTTGCCACCTATGGATCAAGGGTAGTGCAGGGTGATCTGGTTTGTTTGGATGAACTTACTGATGATGAACAGCTCCCAAATAGTAAAGTAAGTATCATTTCATCAGTTTTCCTCATCAGTCACCTCATCAAGGTCACCTCAACAAAGTCACCTCATCAAGGAACATTAGTTTTCCTAAGCCCTGATTTTAGAATCATTTAAACATACATTTAGTTATTTTTAACTTATGTTGACTCATCTCCTGCCTCTACTCTGCCATCAGTTGAGGTTTAACACATGCCAGTAAGTAGAAAAATAAAAATAGGCAGTGATATGGAAGTGAAAGGTACAAAAGGAGTAAAGATTCTTTCTTAAGAACACTTTTTTGGGGGGGAGATTGAAGTGGAAGGATCCCTTGAGTCCAGGAATTTCAGATTGGCCTGTGCAACATAGTTAGACCTAATCTCTACAAACAATTAAAAATCAATTAGCTGGGTATGGTGGCGCATGTCTGCAATCCTGTCTACTGGGAAGGCTGAGGCTACAGCATCGTTTCAGCCCAGGAGTTGGAAACTGTATATGCCACTGTGTTCCAGCGTGGGTGACAGAGCAAGTCTGTCTCTTGAAAACAACAACAAAAGCACATTAAAAAAAAATATACAAGTAGTGTGCAAAATAGACCCTATTTTAAAAATAAAATGTGAAACCTTACAGATGAGGTGCCATTCCTGCCACCCCACTACTGTGATCCCTGCGTCTTCCCCCAGAGAATTAACCTCTGCAGTTTGTCATGCATTTCTAAACCTTTCTCTCTGTTTTCACATAAATGTCCGCAGAAACAGATTATTGTTGTATTAGAATAGTAAAAAAGAAAAGAAAGGAAAAGACGGGATTTAGAGGCTCAAAACTTAAAATATGAAAAGGAAACATAAAAAGATTTTTACGTGTATAAGAATGATGTACAGGCCGTGGAATGTTATGCGTGCCTCCTTTCTGCAAGTGTGATTTTATGTGAATGTGATTTTATAACTTGCTTTTTTTCCTCTTAACAATGTCTTGGAGACTTTTAGAATAATGGAATTGTAATGTAATTTATGTTATAAAAGTTGGTCCTTTCATTTCCTCCCTGGCTGAATATTTTTACTTCTGTGGGTTTTAACTCATGAAATAGGATTCCATAAATCATGCAGTGAAATTCATCTTATAATTCTGTAATACAAAAAATAAATGATTCCCTAATATTAAGTTAGTCTCACAAATGAGGTTTAAAAATGAGTGAGAGAATTTGAGTAGTACTTTTATATGTAACATCATAAGACCAATGAATTTTACAGCAGGAAGGATTTTAGAGACCCTCTTTTTTAACTCCCCATTTTTGAGAAATGAAAATTGAGATGCATATGACAGAAAAGATAAATTCATTGTCACACAGGTAGCAGAACTGGAACGACCCAGCTGCCTGACTCCAACTGGTCTCCATGGAGAAACCACGGAGGATAGAAAGCTGTCAGCATCAAGAGCTACAGCGTGGCCCAGTTTTCAAGAGTAAACAGTAGACCTAACTCTACATAAAGGAAGTTTTGTCTATATTAACAGCATGTAGTTCTATGTGTATGAATTAAGATTTTTTGGTTTCAAGTAATAGAAACCCACCTTAAACAACAGTAATTTAAGGAAGAATTGACAGGAATTTACTCGTCCTTATAACTGAAAGTCCGTGACTGATTCAGGCACAGCTGCGTCTTGGGGCTTCAGTGGTCTTATGTGTCTTTTTCCATCTTTCTGCTTTCTCCATCCATGTTAGATTCATTCCCAGTATGTTTTAAACCTTTTTTAGTAAGATGGTTATTAGCAACTCTGGGCTTATTTATTTATTTTTATTATTTTATTATTTTTTTCTGGGCTTATTTCTTATAATTCTAGACTTATTTCTCAATAGGAAAGAGAGCTTTTCTTTCCTAAAAATGTTGACAAAATCTGAAATCGAGTGTGGGTGGCTAGAAATGGCCTGGCTTGGGTCACATGTCCAGAACCACATCTAGATGTATGGCTGGAGGGTCAGCCTGGCAAGGCCTGTATTCCAGGGCTCCTCCCTGGGACAATCCCACCGAAGCCACATCTGAGAACTGGGGATGGCCCCCTGGAAAACTTGGGTGCTGCTAACAGAAGAGAGGGAATAAAGTTGGTGCCAGTCAGAACAACAGGTGTCTGCTTTACTGTTTGTGTAAGTGGCTGATTTATGACTATTTACATAAGGAAGTGATTGGTAGGAGACAGGGTGTATTACTACAATGGTCATTTAATTGTACACAGGGTCTCAAACTCTGTGTGAAAAGAAAACTAGCAACAAAGTAGGTTGTATTTTACCTAATGGGAGGAGGAAAGATATGTCAGTGATCTCCTTTTGATAAATAATGAAAATCATAGGGTTTTCTAAACATCTTCCAGAAAACATGTCCATCTAATTCAGGCATCCTCAAACTACGGCCTTTGGGCCACGTGCAGCCCACCTAGGACATTTATTCAGCCCACCGGGTGTTTTTGCCACAGCTGTCTGTCCTGCTTAGCAGCTGACTTGTCCCGGGCCTGCAGTCCAGCCCTCCAACAGTCTGAGGGACAGTGAGCTGGCCCCCTGTTTAAAAAGTTTGAGGACCCCTGATCTAATTATTACTTGGGCAACACATTATTAAGTCAGACATTTCTAATTCAGAATTTTAGATTACTTTTACAATATAAAGCAGCAATCTCTGAAATGCATGTGTTTTATAAGATTTTATTTGTTCCAAAGAACGTATGCAAGGACAGTTCTGTGATCAGAATTATACCTGCTTTTCTTTTGAGAGCTGTAGAAGAAGAGAGAACATGTATTAGTTGGCTCTGAGAAAGGAGAAGGCAGGACTCAGAAGCTCAAAATGTGTAAGATGAAAAGAAAAAGAAAAGATACAGATTCCTAATGAATGGTATATGGGGTCTATAGTGTGTATCTATAATAAAAAAATGTGGGAAACTACTCTGATTCCCTCTTTTAATAGGATTACTGGACTAACAGGTGTATATTTCAAGTAACTTACCATTTTCTTATAATTAAAGTAGAGAAATGTGAGTTAGACAGTTAAGAAGTTGGGGGAGCAGCCCTACAGGAAAAGCACGTTCCTTAGTATCCGTGTGATGTCAGTTTGGAGGGAGGTCCCTAAGATGCAGCACCATGTCCTATACTGGGCTGTGTTTGTTCAGTATTTTCATAAGTTACTTAAAGCACGGTATTAGAGGTGTGCTGTGCATCTGTGAAAGACAAAAAGCTAGAAATAACGAGGCTGTAGACGTCCTCCTCGGATGTATGTCTCCCCTTGCATTTTGGTCACACCACATCTGGACCACCACATCTGGACTTAGCCATGTCTGAGGGTAATAGTCAAGAAGAGGTTAATAAACAAACAAACTCAAATGTAAAACAAAAATACAGGAGGGATATTACTGATCAGATTGGGGAGAACCGAGGCAGAAGAGGCAGCTGTGGAGGGGCTCTTGTTCTAGTTGTGATGGATGCTTTAGGAATTTTAGAATACTGTTATCCTTAGGAAGAGGTGAGAGCTCCCATTCTTCTTGAGCTTTCACGGACAGGAGAAATCAGAATTATTAATTCTGTGATATCTCAAATCTATCGCATACCTCTCTTTGTTCTCCTACATTTGATACCTTTTACTTGCTACTCTATGAAACAAATATTGAAAAGCACCACTCCTGCAAAGAGGGTTCTGATAGTTGTTTGGGGCAGAAGTTAGTGGGGTGGGGCAGGGCTGGTATTACGGAGGCCGATTTTTAATTCAGCGTAATAAAAACTTCTGCGATTTAGAAAAAGATTGCTGGTGACTAAAATGAAAGGATTGCCTCACATGTTTCCAACTTGGGTTTTTGGTAGTTAAAGCAGGAAGAATTCTCCTAATTTTTGTGTAGTTTACTCCTTCAAGAACAAATTGTGAAATAAACTCACATAGGTATATGTATATTCAGCCTAGGAATGAAATTAGATGTAACAGATCTATGGACATTTGGGAATCATACGTATTTTCATTATGTTTCTTAAAAATAGGTTCATCTGGTAACTGAGGAAGAGGAGGCAGCTAATACATATGCAATACGTCAGGTAAGTTTGTTTTAAAATTACTGTCCCTTAGCTCTAAGTACAGACATTGTTTGCAGAAGACAAAAGGTTGCACAGGCTGCCTCCTTTTTTACATCTTTTGAATTAAGGTAGAATTTATATTAAATCAAATTCACTCTTTTTAGTTTGTAGATGTACAAATTTTGATGAACACATTGCTGTACGACCCCCACACAAATCAATATAAAAACAGTTTCATCTCCTTCATCAATTCCCTGTGTCCCTTTGTAGTTGACCCCCATTTCCATTCCCAGCCCTGGGCAACCCCTGGTCTGTTTTCTGTCACTCTGGTTTTGCCTTTCAAGGAATCTCATTTTAATGGACTCACATAGTACATGGCCTTTTGTACCTGGCATCTTTCACACAGCATAGGGAATTTGAACTTTATCTTATGTGAGTTTTTTACCTTGTTTTTTTTTGTTCTGAAAACTAGATAGAAGTCACCAGCCAAGGAGGAAAATCCCCCCAAATGCAGTTTACTCACATGCAGCTAAGAAAGTAAACTGCATTCTATTTGCAGCTGCTTGTTTGCTTATCCCAGATACGGGATTGAGCAGTAGGGGTTACTTTTTTTGATGCAGAAAGTCGACGCATGACTGTTTAGAGGTTAAGTCTTTCTTGGCCAACTCATGTACCTAAATTTTGTGAATAGTGGTTAGTCTGATATTTGGCTTGAACTGGTTGCCTTCATTATTGTGAGTTCTTGATTTTAGTTAGCTTGACGTTCATGTTTATATCCTGAGACTGTTCTTACAAATCCAGGTCCTGTATAGAAGTAAATTTAAAATGTGATCACCTATCTTCTGAAGGCCATTTCCCGTATTTTCCCACTTCTTTTCGACAGGTGGTTCTTCCAGTACTTGGATATAATATTCAGTACCCAAAGAACAAAGTAGGGCAGTGGTATCTTGAAGCACTTAGCAGAGATGGACTAGCAACATGCAAGTTTAAAGTGCCTACTCTGAAACTGAACGTTCCAGGATGCTACAGACAGATTTTGAAGCATCCCTATAATCTCTCATACCAGCTAAAGGAAGGTCATGACATTGATGTCGGAACAGAAGGGTCCCACATCAGTAAAGCAACCTTATCTCTTTTGATCTCTTTTGACCTTGACAGTTCCTGTTATGCTACAGTTTGTCTGCGGGAAATGATGAAGCATGATGTTTAAAACTGATGCCCTTGATATACTGGTATATATGTCACTCTTTGAAGGAATGGGAGCTAAAACTTATCGTGCATCTACTATGGGCTAAGAGCTTCATAATTGCCACTGCCTCTAATTTTCATAGCATCCTGACAAGCTGGAATCTGATGCTGTAATGTTCCAGAGGACATGTGTCTTGAAAGTGTCAGGGTCTGAATTTAAGATCCATCTGACTCCAAAACCTGGTTTCTTTTTTTTATATAATGTTTCAGTGACTGTTATTCTGTGTTACAAAAGTTACAGTCTTTTTTAAACAACTAGCAACATATAACACTGTCAGATAACATTTAGGGAAAAAACTTTGTATTGTTACTTTCATATTCCCTAGCACCTTACTTAGAACAGTGGTGAAACAAGGTTGCAGTGAAAGCTATGGTTGGAGAAAAAGATAGAGGAAGCATTTGGCTAATGATTATCGTTATCCTTGCCTATTTTTTAAATTATTGATCAGAACAATATACAAGGAAAATACCATCCCTCTATTTGGAATAACTATTCCAGGGTAGTTAATACCTTTTTAGGAGATAATCTTTGATGAAGTTTGAAATACATTTTTTATACAATTTCTATATTTTGACATACATTGGCTATCTTGACTTCTCATTATTTTTTTAATATATTATCTAAAATACAGATTTTAGAGTCAGACAGATCTGTGCTCAGACTCTAAAGCCTGATGTTTACTAGTGACTTTGGGTATATTATTGATTGTGGGTCACTTACAGAGTCAAGACACTCTCTATGTTGCTGGAGGAAGAAAACATTTTCCCATTTGAAAATTTTAATGATTGTTGATTTAACTGTGCCATATCTTAAATCATCCTTGAGCATTTTTTTAAAAAAAAATTCTTTTTATTTTTTAATCTTTTTTGCAGTTTTTGACCGGGACTGGGTTTGAACCCACCACCCCCGGCATATGGGACTGGAGCCTTACCCTTTTGAGCCACAGGTGCCACTTCATCCTTGAGCATTTTATATTAGTTATATTTTAGCGGTGTAGGGTGTGACTATTACATCTTGGGAATATCTGAGCATTTTTTCACTGTTGGTAATGTTATATAATGATGAAATTTAAAAATCAGCATAGAACATTGTATATTTGTGATGTGGCACTTTTTATACTTTAGTATGTCTGACTGGGGAGCTATGAGCATATTAGAATAAAATTCAAAAGAAGAAAAGGAGCTACATGCAATGCAGAATTTGACTATTGTAGCCTTTTTATATGTAACAAAATAAAAAGTTTCAAAGTCCATCATGAAATAGCTAAAGTAAATAAAATGAGATGTTCCAACTTATTGGCAAAAAATATAGTTATTAAAAATAGCCCCATTTGAGGTTGGTGCCTATGGCTCAAAGGAGTAGGGCGCTGGCCCCATATGCCGGAAGTGGCGGGTTCAAACCCAGCCCTGGCCAAAAACTGCAAATAAAAAAAAAGTAAACTAAAAATAGCAATGAATATTTTAGTTAAATGAGAAATGTCCCTCTAAAGAGGAACACATGTATCACACATGCAGTAATACACCAAAACCGCTTTTACAAACCACAGACATGTTAGTGTCACGATTCAAAGCACAGAAATTGGAGAACTCACCTAGTTTTACCCTGGCTCTGCCGTGTATAGCAGCGTGTCCATGGGCAAATTATTCAAGCTCATGTGCTTCAGTTTCAGTATCTGTAAAATAGTGGTGTTAATATTACCTACCTCAATGGATCATTGTGAGAATTTTCTGAGTTAATATATGTAATGCAGCTTTAAAAAGTGCCTGGTATGTAGTTATTGTTCAATAAGTTTCTGCAGATGCAAATTTGAAAGAAAAACGAAAAGAAATGAAAATGCCCTTCTATTAAGATTATGGGGTATTTTTTTTTTTAAATACTAAAATTTTTCTGTTTGGTCATTATGTATTTTAGCAATAAATAATTCTCAACATGCAAAAATTGGATATGTGAGTATCTTTTTTTTTAAATTTAATTACCTTTGTAGTTTTAATGTGTATTGGGAATGACATGAATCCGTACAAAATTAATTCATGAATCACATGAATTAATTTTGTTGTATATGATAAATTATATCCTATTAATGTAGTTATAAAATGAATTATATAAATTACTAAATCCTAATTTTCTTTAAATGTTGAGTATTAATTAGAAAAAAGGAAAGAAACTATTTAAATGTGCTGTCATTGATTATTATTTTCTTTGCCTGTAGGTGGCACTATAATTTTAGACATCTTTATTTATTTATTTGTCTGTGTGAAAAGGGTCACTAATTTATTTCAAGTCACCAAAAAATATATTCAGTGCTTTTTCACATGGAATAATGTTTTATTTATCAATAATATTTTATGAGTTAATTTTTTTCAGTTTAAGGACTTTATTAATGTACTTTAGAGCCTCTGATGACCAGTCACCTGGGATTTTGTAGTTTTTCTAAAGCATCTCAGACCATCCTGAGCATGTCCCTTGGATTAGTTTTACAATGAAGGCTGCATGTGAAACTGAGCAATAGTACCTAAGGATTAGTAAGGTGAAACAAATTGAGGTATTTTTATTAAGATAAAAAACAACTGGATGTTTTTTGAGTTATAAAGAACCAAAAGCCATGTTTAACTTTTGATTTCAGTAACATCTGCTGATGATCTGTTATGCCAGTGTCTCTCACCTTAATCCTTAAACCCCCTCTGTGTAGAGGTAGCACTTTTCTGTATTTCACAGAGTAGAAATATATCTGAGTGGTTTATTGACCTATTTAAGGTCAAACTAGATAGTATGTGGTTGAACTTGGTTATGCTTTCGATTCAGTACCATTTTCCTCTACCTCATATTTTTGCTTTTAAAAACAAATTTTTAAATACTAACTTTCATTTCTACCAACTTGATTTTACTTGTCATTGATTTAATAGACATATTGGGGCATGTCTTGAGAGAAACAAGATTCCTTTTGAGATTTTGAGAAGTAAAAGTAATTTGGGACATTTCCTTATCATATGTAGGTATTTAGCAAATCCCCAAATCATCTGGGGTCTTCCCCAAATCTTTTGGGATTTGTATTACAGTAA